CTCAGTACTCAGTGCAATGCATGACACAGAGTAAGGCAGACTCAACCACCATGTACTGAGTGTCTGAACTACCTACTTCATTTTTCCTGGCAGGAGAATGTGACATCAGGGACAGTTAAATGACCAGAGTGATCCTTACTGCCTAGAATCAACGCCAAGGGGCAGCATCTCTGTCACATTCTCAGGCCACTGCGGCACTAGCCTACACTTCTCTATTCCCAGCAGGGGGTTTCTGTTCCTTATCTTTTATGGGTTATACTTTATAGAGTCTCAATAAACATTTATTGCCATGTAACATATACTCCTTCATCTCAGTACTGTGCGTTCTGATCCACTTTACCTCTCATCCTGGGGGAGTCACGGGGCTCTGAATGGTGGCTGGTGCCGGTCCTGGAAAAACCCTGGTACTGACTGAGGGTCCTAAAACATCCCCCAGTTCCAGAAGCAGAAGGAAAGCTGGTCTGATGAGACCCAAGGACTAAGAGTGGCTCCCTCCTGCTCCTGATGGTGCTCCCACGGCCTCTAAACCATCTGTGAAAGGGCAAACACGGCGTCTGGGAACTATGATCATTTATTACAGGCGCCAGGTCCTTGCTGATGGGACTGGGCTGCAATATACTTCTGCCAACACGAACTCTTGTGAATCTGACATAATATCAAATCGCCACGCGTCATGGTCTCATCTGTCCTTTGCTTCCTGACTCCACGGACACAGAAAAGGTCCTAACTGTATCTCATTTACTCTTTTCACTGACCGCTGACTGGTGGTCCTCAAAAGCTTTGTCTGTGAGATTAAAATGTCCCCTTAAACTTCCATAACGAAGTGGTCATGGATTTAGGGGCAATAACAAAAATCACCCAATAAGAAACCCAACCAGAGGGAAACTCTTCCCCTTGGAAGGAAGCCACATTGAATGCCATGGGAGTTAGAACTGCCCCGGGCTCCTGAGGTCTGGAGCGGCCAGCGGATGCCTTTTGATCAAGTCGTATTTGGTTCATTACTTCAGGTAAAAGAGAATGCCCACCTCGAGGTTCATAAAAGACAGAAACTAGGGGACTAATGCCAAAACCCAACACCAACAGTGTTTTCCACTGCAATGCCTTCCCTCCGTCACCTTCCCCCACTTTTTAACTTCAAACAGAAGTAGGTGAGATCCAGACAGGAGATATGGATGCCACTGTCTTTGGCTCTTTGGGCCTCAGTATACCCATATGGAGAATGGGGGAGAAGGACACTACAGTTTCTGATGAGAAGGCTTTAGGTTTTTTCTTTTGCTTCAGGAACAGACGGCAGCGAGCAGGTCTTGGAATGTGAGGACTCAGGCTGGTGTAGGAATTCAAGGACACTAGAGTAACAGCAGGCTATGCAAGGAGGGCCTTTGAGGGCTCTGCCCTTCTGGAAGTCACTGCTCTTTAAAAGATTCAGGAGTCACTGCAAAGGACTCTTCCACATCCTGACCTGCCTCTTACACAAGCCATTTAACAGTATCTGTAAATAGGCAGCCTCTCTAACACAAAAAGCCAACTTTCCAGCCCAGTCTGAGGGGGCCCTGACCAGTGAGACTTTCCAAAGACATTCCCTGGGCAACTGACAGTATTTGAAGCCACGTCTGATGGGTTACCCCTGCTCCTTGCCATAGGATGCTGGCATTCTAAGCTCCTTCTGTGAACGAGGGACAGGCAAGCAGGCAGGGTTTTGCTGGGGCTTGATGTGTGACATGCCGCTTGCCCAAACAGCCCTCATCACTCGCTGACATTTCATGGCTCGCCCCAATCACAGGCTGGAGGATCAGACAGTTTACTCTGGAGCTGGAGGGAATAATTTGAGCAGCACATGCTGGATCTTCACAGAGAGAACCACTGCAAGGAGCCTCTGACTCTCTGCCCGAACTCCAGGCTGGGTGTTTAGCTAAGCAACGTGGCTCCTTGATGGGGATGGCTTATTTTTCTCAATCGCTAAGCCCTCATCAGTCCGTTCGCTCAAATCCCTAATGGGTTGCACAGACCAGAATCTTGCTTTTCCTTCTCAGCTAGTGTCCTGGTGGTCCAGTCTTGTCCATGATCTAATTAAGCACCCACTGTGTGCTATGTCTTGTGAAGCACCCACTATGTATTGTGTCCTGTGTCTAGTTAAGGTGGTAACTGACATGGTGTCTCCCTCTAGGATCTCACGTTCTTAAGGCAGCCATGGACAAGAAGACACTTGTACAGTAACAAATGTTCCATGAGCCTGGCATTCCTCAACTGTCTGCTCACCTTCAGCTTTGGCTAAATGTCTCCTCCCTGTCCACCTTACCTCATATGCCTCTCCAGAGCCTCACCGTTAGTCACGCGGGTATCTCTCAGTTCTTCAAGCTCATCATCCTGCCTGAGAACTTTGACTCATGCTATTTCTCTCCCTGGAACATTCTAGCTCCCCCCCACTTCACCTCGGTTTTAAGGTCACCCACTCAGAGAGGCTTTCCCTTGCCATCCCCTATAACACAGGCCTCTCTTGCTCTCACTCTCAGCGCCAAGCTCATTTCCTTTTCAATACTAACCCAAATTTGAAATTACTCATTTGCTTGTTTTCTGACTTTTTCTGACTTATCTTTTGTGTCTCCTCTACCAGACTATAACCTCCGATGGTGTCTGTCTCGTTCCCACTGCCCCCACCATGGTCTGCACAGTGCCCGGAACAACTCCCTACTGAACAAATGAAGGGAGAGGTTTTTCTATGGTAAGTGATTATGGAATAGAAAGGCCACAGACTTGAGGGCTTTGTTAGTAACAACGAAGGGTCTGCTTAGTTCTAGCAGCAAGAGGAAAACCATCCAAGCATGGTAAGCGGGGGAGACACAAGACAGACATTTATTACAGAATTACACGGCCCCTTCGATCATGTGGAAATGGACTTTGGGGGTAGGAGAAGGGCAAACTAGAGGTAAACAGATTTATTAGGAGGCACCTGTGAAAACTGAAGTCCTCCCTACCCAGTGTAGTTCCTGGATCAGCAGCAGGGACCTTGCCTGGTGTGTATTAGAAATGCAGGCTCTCAGGCCGTATGCCAGCCCTACTGCATCATCACTGCGCTTCGGCAGCGGCCCCGGGAGGCTGTGCACACCTGGGAGCTGGGCTGCAGGTGAGAGACCATGGTGGCCGGATCTGTCTTTGGAGTGGCGGACAGAACTGATTCATCAATGCCCCCGTAAATCCAGTCAGTGCCCCTCGTAAGTCAAATATTCCAAAGCACTAGGTTGGGGCTGACTTATGTTTGTTGACTACAAGAACAAATAAGCAAACGCTTGTCCATTCTGTAGTTTCCTTTTCTTTAACTCAGTATCCCAGTGAGACTACCCATTCCGGACACAAATGGGTAACTTTACCCCAAGGAGAGAGTCCAAAGTTCTGAGAAGGAAGTGTTGCTTCCTTCCTCCTTTCTTCTGATAACATCCCTTCCCCCGCTGCTCGGCGGGCCTATTGCAGGAGCCCAAATGAGATGCCCCTCATCTGTGAGACTTTCCGTGTCCTTCCCAGGAGAACAAATAGATCCACTGGATCCCTGTTCCCTTTTCTACGAAACACCTTTTGTTTCCATAGGTCTGCGTTACAATGGCCCGTCCCACAATTGCTCTCCCCATTACACTTCAAGCCCCTGAGGTTCTGAGAACAGAACAATGGCCGGAGCCCCAGGGCTGGATGACATCTAGATGTGCCAGAGACACAGCAGAAGCGTGTGTTGAGGTCACACTCCTCCCGTCACCGTGCTGTTCTTGGGGCAGCATCCCGGGCTGCCCTCATGTCTTTGCTCTCATCAGCCAAGCCGAGCTGCATGACTTGCATCTGTGGCACAGCTTGCTCTCTCTCACCGTTCCCAGGAAGCTCCCCTGGGTTAACCTCAGGATCAATCCACTCTCAGAATCCCCTGCCCCTTGGCCCTTGACCCCATCTCCCTCACACCAGGACACAGGAGGTAATATTTCCATCTCACTTGTCTCTTTGACAGTCTGCTCACGTGGAAGCCTCTCAAGGACAGGGCCCCACGTCGCATAGAACTTCACACAGCGGGGCCAGTCTGGGCATGGAGACTTGTCAGAACCAGCAGACATGGAGTATTTCTCACAACAAAGGAGACAGACTACTCTAATGGAGAATCCAAGATGGCTGCACAGGTAAATACCTACCTGCAGCCGCACACAACAATTTCAATAAAATACAACTAAAATATAAAATGGTGATTACCCAGAACTACAGGAAAGTCGACTGACTGGAAATTCTACAACGAGAAGCAAGGAAAAAACCAGAAGGAAGAGCAGAGGAGCTGTAAAAGCCTAAGGCACGGAGACACGCGGTGCGCACGGAGAGAACTGAGCCGGAGAGGAAGGAAACCATGCAGGCCAGACGGGAATGGCAAGAAATATTCAAGGTGATGAATAGTAAGAACCTACAGCCAAAGATAATCTATCCAGCAAAGCTATCACTCAGAATCGAAGGTCAGATAAAGAGCTTCATTAATAAAAAAAAAAAAAAAAAAAAAAAAAGCTAAAGGAGTTCATCACCACCAAACCAGAATTAGATGAATTGCTGAAGAGGGTTCTTTCAGAAGAGAAAGTAAATAAAGATAAAAATTATGAACAACAAATACGTAACTATCAACAAGTGAATCTAAAAACCAAGGAAATTAAAAAAAAAAAAAAAAAACCCTGATGAACAATATTAACTGTTGAATATAATAGAATCAGAGGTATGGAAGGGGAGTGAACTGACGATTTTGGGGGAAAAGGGGAGAGGGGGATGTGGGAAGAGACTGAACATACACTGTGCACCTATGGATGAGGACAATGGGGGGTAGGGAAAGGGCAGAGGGTGGGGTGGGAACCTGGTGGAGGAGAGCAATGGAGGGAGGGGAGGAACATTTGTAATAATATGAACAATAAAAATTTATTTAAAAAAATAAAATCACTACTCTACAATCATAAAAAAAAAAAAAAAAAAAAACAAAGGAGACAAAGGTGACTGACCTTGGATGTGTAGGTGTGGCCATCGGAGCCGCAGACCATGGCCGACTGTGCGGTGGGGCAGGGCTTGCACTTGACCAGATTCGAAGGCCCCGCCCAGTGTTTGTGGGCCACGGTCCCCTTCTTTTGCCTGAGGATGGGAAAAAGAGGAGATAAGTAAATGAAAGCTCCCACACTCACGGTTCTTTCCTCCAAGTACCTGGATAAAGGCCAAACAACTAAAAGGGCTGGCCAAGAAGTCAGCACTTCCGTTTGTCCCAACTCACTGGTGGGGGCAGGAGACTGACTGCTCCAGAAGCCTAGGTCCAACCCACCAGATGGACCGGGAAGGCGATGTGGCCGTTAGATTGTAAAACATCACTTCCTGATGTGAAAAGCCACTTGCAATACATCGCAAAGGACAAGGAAGGAGTGTGGCTCCATGCGCTCACCAGCCCCCAGCGCAGGGCGTATCACAGGTGCCTGGAAACAGCACCCAATGCCTCGGACTCCTCCAGGGCTGACCAGCAGCTTTCCAGTGGGATGACACACAGGTGGCTCAGCAAGCATCTCCACTAGAACTGCATCTCCAAATGCAGCCAATGACTTCATCACAGCTGTGGAAAACCATCTCTGGATACATTTTGAAGCAATTTTAGTCCAGCTTCCAATGTGCCATTTGATAGAGGCTCTGAGATGATGTCACTTTCAAGTACAAAAATAACCACAATTCTAGTCTTTCATGCCAGTTCCAGCCTCCCATCGTCACCTTTGTGATAACGATACATGGTGCTGGTAGGATGGCTTGTGTCCATGGAAGGAGCCCCATCCCTTCTCACAAACCATTGGAAGAAAGGCTGGGGAGACCGCCACCCTGATTCTCTTACTTGAAACTACTAGGAGTGACTCTCATCACCATGGGCCTGTGTTTTGGGTACAGGACAAGTGTCTGTGGACTGTCAGGCTATGACTGTGCCCTTGAAGTGCTTTACACAGATAGTCCTGAATGACTGTTAATGCTTAGGCTCTGGAGTTGGAAAACACCTCTCTTTCTGAAATAAATACATCTATTATTTGCATTTCTAAATGGATATGAGGTTTCCTATTATCCTTTGCCAAACATTATGTAGACTTCCAGGTTTGTTCTGGACTACTGAAGAAGGCAGGGTGGGTGATGGGACTCTGAGCAGCAGCCAAGTAGGCTGTCAGCATAGGTTAATCTTAGAGGACACGATTCCCTCGGCAGAACACCACACATTTGTCATCATTCTCACAGCAGATTGTCTGACATGGATAATGAATCAGAAATAGAGGCAGAAGCTGTGGCGTCTAGCAGCTCTCTCCTGGGTCGGTCCACAGCTGCAAGTCCACAGCTGAAACGATTCTTGTTATGAACTCCCAGGAAGGGGCTATGAAGTTCAAAGAGGGGGAAGCTTTGCTGGAGCAGACACAGGCACGTGCAATGATGCCCCAGAGAAAAGACACCTGAAGGAGCTTAGCCAAAGGCAGTAGAGAGAGAAGTGGACACTGAGTCAACAGCTTGGAGGAAAGATGGAACCAGCTATTAATCACCAGTTAATGACAGGTCATCCCTGCTTGGACCTGAACCTCACCATTAAGTTTACTGGCCAATGCTTACTAGTGGGCCTGGTACATCCTGGATACTCAATATATCCCTGTTGGTGAATGGGTGGGTCCCTGAGTGCTGACCCAGTGTGGCTACTTAGCAGTTAATGACCAAATCACAGCCTGTTGGGACCAGAAAATACCTTAAAACTAATCCAGTGCAGCAACTGTATTTTATACCTAAAGAATCAGACATAGCTGGGGAATGACCTGCCTGGTATCACACAGAAATATGGCAAAGTTACTTTCTAGGCATTTGTCAGACTGGGGTATCCTGGAAATGACTGTGCTCCTTTGGGACTGTTTTTTTCTTAATAGTTTAAAAAATGAGAGAGAGAGAGGTAGAGGAAGAGGGAGAGGGAGAGGGAGAGGGAGAGGGAGAGGGAGAGGAGAGGAAGTGAGAGTGAAAGAGTAAAACATCCATCAGCTGCCTCCTACATGTTTCCCACCGGGGATCAAGCCCACAACCTGGGCATGTGCCCTGACCAGGAATTGAACCAACAATCTTTCAGTACACAGAACAAAGTCCAACCAACTGAGCCACGCTGGTCAAAGCCCTCTGAGACTGTTAACTCCCTATTTTGGCATCTGTACTTTCATCACCAGGGCTCCATTTTGTAAGTAAGCTTTTTGAAACACTGTCCTGGCATTAAACCAGCAAAGCAATAAGTTCCTATATCCAAGGTCAAGTGTTTGTGAACTATGCCAGAGGAATCATGCTTGACAACCTCCTATGATGCCTTGAGGACTAGAAGTACAAAGGGCAAGCTATTCAGAATTTGCCCAGATTTAATGAAACAAGCGTAACTGCTCTAGCAGGCAAACCCGGGTGTTCCTTGCCTCACTAGAACCCTAGTAGAGATGGCAACCAAATCTGTGGTCTCTGTCCAGAGGCCAAATTATGTAACATTATAATCAAATACACGTGAGACCATGGAGTACAACTTCCCTGGTTATTATGTATATATTCCAATCTCCACAATTCAGTGTGAACTATAAAAAATAACCAACCCAGTTGAGGCAAGGGACTCAGCCTTCTGACTCTAAGATATTTCACTTCTTGAGTCAATGAAGAGTGAAATCCGATAAAAGTATCTTGATGGGATTGCTATTCCCAATGTCACAGACATTCATCAGTGGGAGTGACATAAACAATTTGGTCTGAAAGGAAGGTTTCGCCATCTTTTCCATCAGCCATGGAGCCCTAACTCCACCCCAGCCTGGCTGGTGCCAGGAGCAGCCACACCTCCCACCTTGCTGACAGCATTGCACAGGAAATCCCCATCTACCCAATCCCCAAGATGGAGAGAAGACAATCAGTGATCACTGGCATTTCTTATTCTCTTTGGTTCAGCTGCTTATTCTCAATATTTTTTTTTAAAGTCTACCAAAATAACCAGCATTTATGATTGTGAAGCAAGAGTGATGATTCTTAAATACAAATCTGCTAATGTGACCCCCCACGCTCAAAACCTTCATCTTCTCTGCAGCTTCTGGGCATAGGTTAAGCTCCTAATTTTAGTATTAAACTGACTGAGTCTACTTTTGTAGGGTCATTGAATGCTCTGCCTTATTCTCCAACACACACACACACACACATACACACACACACACACACACACACACACACACACACACACACACTTGAGTCAATAAAGAGTGAAGTATGTCTCTTACACGTGCCATGCAAATCCAAGTCTATATAACTTGGCAAATGTTCTCTACCTTCATAGCAAAGCCTATCCCTTGTTCTAGTTTCAAATTGACTGTCTTCCATGCAATCTCTCCTGCTCCTGTGAGCCCTATCCCAAGTAGAATTAACCATGACATTATTTGTTCAACAGTGCACCATGTTCAGACCCAACTGTGACATTCACCGCAGCACAAGGCAGTTCTTTTCATGTCTAGTTTCATCAATACACTGTGCACTTCTCAAGGGTAGCAGCTGGGCTGTAATCATTTTTGTGCTCAATGGTACTTAAAAACAAGATTGACCCTTGAGACACATGGCTTTGCTCAGTGAAATAAGTGAATTTATTCACTTGGACTTTAGAACTTCTCCTTTCATTTCTTCAAATCATTAGCACTGGCTAGAGGGCAAAAATAGAATGTTAAGTAACAAGAATTCAACAGGCTCTTATTTCCAGAAATCCTAACTCAGACTTAAAACAACAGTTAGCAAAGTTTCTAAAGACAACTGAGGAGTGATGAAGGGGCTCCCCCATGCATCCCAGAGCTGACGGAGCCTTTTCTACTCCCCAGACATCAGGCTGCCTCCAGAGCTGCAGGTTCCAAACTGCCAACAGGTACTAATGTTTTTGTATTCAAAAATAAGAAATCTGAATTCCTAGGAATTCCACAGAATTACTGAAATAATACGTTTTTTCTGCATTCTTCACAACCTTTTATTTATGTCTTTATAATAAATATTACATTTAGAAGTATTTATAAAGAAATGTAGCCTGGAGTGAGAAGTCAAACCCTGGACATTGTCAGCAAGCATTACTGGATCGTACTCAAATAATGTGACATTTGGATTTTCTAGCAAGTTAACAGCATTGCACAGAATCACATGTTGTTATTGTCAATTTAAAGACTTACTTTATTCTAACACTGATCTCTGGAACACCACACAGAGGGTTCCTACAAAGTATAGTATGCAAATAAATGCATTAATATTCATTTTATTTACAGGAGCAATTAATTCATCACTGGCAGCAGACTGGACCACACACACGCTAATAAGATGGCAACAGCAACAAGCAAGACTGACCAGGTCATGACTGCTCTTCCCAAGGTGCCTCCTACATACCAGATCATGACTGCTCTGTCCTTGTTCCTGGATTTGTCAGCATTAACCTTCAAGCCCACACAGCAGTGTTTCCTGTTCTTGTCTCCACTGGACCCTGCCGCTCCTCACTCAGAGCTCCTACTCTCACCCACCAGGGCACACAGCTACCTCTCCCATCAAGAGAGTCTTTGATGACCTCAGTTGTGACCCAGTATTTTGCTTGGCCGCGGGCAGAGTAGGACCACAGTCAGGGCCCACAACAAAACGGTGGCAGGACAGAGATGTCAGAGTAATTTTTCCAGTAACGAATACATATGCAGGTGTAAATTTCCTGACGTTTATCTCACAGGATGAAATTAACCTGTGTCAACAATATTTAATGATGTGGTGGTGCTGAAGCTGCAAAGCATATATAGAGTAGAATTATTGACTTTCCCCCTTCGTTTATTGAAAAAGGACCTTTCATTTTACTCAATACATTGGACATTCTAACATGTTTGGGTAAGTTTAAATAGGATGGTTTTCTCTGCATATGAACAGCTGGTGAAAGAGTAGAGTGATTCCAGATCCTGAAGAGCAACAGCAGCATTCCAGCTGTTTTGTGGGACCACTACATGCCAGTCCACTACATGCCAGTTCTGATTCCTCACATGCAATGCTCATATCATCCCCATTTCCAGGAGGAAAAACCCAGCTTCCATAACCAGTCCCAGGACCTGCTCTGCTCTCTCAGC